GCAACATCAGAGGAGCAGGAAAGCTGATGTTTTGGGTCTGGACCCTTTTTCGGAAAAGAAGGGTCTTTCTGAAGAAGGGTCCAGACCCGAAACGTCAGCTTTCCTGCTCCTCTGATGCTGCTTGGCCTGCTGTGTTCATCCAGCTCTACACCTTGTTATCTCAGATTCTCCAGCATCAGCAGTTCCTACTATCTCTAGTCCCATCTGCCTGTGTTTGGCCAATATCCGTCCAAACCTTTCTTCTGATATGTAATAAACGTAAGAAATCTTCAAGTCTGCAACTCAGAAGCAGCTGTAAGATCCACGCTATCTCCAATCCAAATGCGTGAAGATGTGACCATTTGTTTTTCAGACTTTTGCACAACTACTGATAGGAAAATAGCTCCTCTCAGTTTTTTCCTGCCCTCTGTAGCTCCTGAAAATGAGAACAAATACAGCATTTATTCCAGTGGTAATTATGACTAATTCCAACAAAACTGGCCCATTTGGCCTTATTTCTTGGCCGGTTTAATCTGTTGCTTAGTCACTGGCAAGACTCCATAAAGCATTTTTCATTGTCTTTATTATGTCCAATTCCAATCGCTATGATATCAGAATTGAATTTTGCCTAACCTGGTTGATTTGCTGATCAAAAATGCATGCATGTTTTGCTGAATCTGTTGTTAAAGCTTCACAGTGCTTTGAGTAATGGAAGAGTTGCAGCAAATCTGGATTCCTGGATAGCAGTTGCTTGTCTTGGAGCCTCAGGCAATATACCACAGATCTTGCTAAATTTCATAGAAAGCTGGTGATTGTGATTATGGTTATTTTAATGTTTTTACTTGTTTGGAATAATTTGTATGTAGTGTCTTGTGTTTTGATGTCACTTTGAAAAGGAAAAAAAGTCATCTTTGTGAGATAGCCTTATGTTATAACCAAGGGCCCATGGCTTTTTGACATTTATATCAATGACTTGGATGAATAAAGGAGGTATGGTTAGTAAGTTTGTAGCTAACACCAAAATAGGTTGTGTAGTGGACAGTGAAGAAGGTTATCTCAGATACAATGGGACCTTGATCAGGTGGGCAAATGGGCTGAAGAGTGGCAGATATAGTTTAATTTAGATGAATATGAGGTGCTGCATTTTCGAAAGGCAAATCAGGGCAGGACTTACATGCTTAGTGCTAAGATCCAGGGGAGTGTTGCCGAGCAAAGAGATCTTGGGTGCAGGTTTGTAGTACCTTAAAAGCAGAGTTGCAGGTAGACAGGGTAAGGTAGGTGGTGTTTGGTACACTTGCCTTTATCGGTCAGTGCATTGAGTATAGGAGTTGGGAGGCCGTGTCGAGGCTGTACAGCACAATGGTTAGGCCACTTTTGGAATACTGCATTCAATTCTGGTCTCCCTGGCTTGTAGAAAAGGTATTGTGAAACTTGAAAGGGTTCAGAAAAGATTTACAAGGAGGTTACTAGGGTTGGAGGGTTTGAGCTACAGGGAAAGGCTGAATGGGCTGGGGCTATTTTCCCTGGAGCACCGGAGGTTGAGGGGTGACATTTTAGAGGTTTATAAAATGATGAAGGGCATGGATAGGGTGAGCAGTCAAGGTCTTTTCCCCAGGGTAGGGGAGTCAAACTAGGGGACAGCGGTTTAAGGTGAAAGGGGAAAGATTTAAAAGGGACCGAAGGGGTAACTTTTTCACGCAGAGGGTGGTGCATGTATGGAATGAGCTGCCAGAGGAGGTAGTGGAGGTAGGTACAATTACAACATTTAAAAGACATCTGGATGGATATATGAATAGGAAGGGTTTAGAGGGATATGGGTCAAATGCTGACAAATGGGATTAGATTAATTTAGGATATCTGGCCGGCATGGACAAGTTGGACCAAAGGGTGCGTTTCCCTTTGTACATCTCAGTGATTCTATAACTCTATCTATACAAATGAAAGAAGCAGACACTGTTGAGCCAGAGATTTTATTGATTGTGATTGTTTCTACCGTAAGTACACCTTATAGGAAATATTATTATAGCTTGGTGTTGTCCTAAAGCTAATAAATAATTGCAAGTTAATTTGTGGGAAAGTATCTTAATTCTTTGAATCCCAGTGGGAGTGTACTCAATTATGAAAGAAATTTTCTAGATATTTCATGATCTTAAGATTAACATCATGAGAAAACAATTGGGTGAAACTGTTGCCATACATGTCCAATGTAGAGTGGCTGTCCAAATGTGAGGCATTGAATGAGTTGAGTTGTTGAAAATACACTGTAAATGTCGAGTTTCAGAATATTACATTTCGGAAATAGGCCAGTCAGCATACCATATTTGCACAAGCGTTTTGTTCAACAGGAGTTACTTAGGCTGACTGTGCTTTGCTCAACTGTCAGGTATAAAATTTATTTCTGAAATAATTATAAATATTGATTAAACCATTTATCTAAATAATTCTGCATTCTAACTGCCCTCTAAGTGAAGAATTAATTTTCTTAACCTTCCTTTCAGATTGTCTTAAATTTGCATCCACTCATTAGCATCTGATTGATCGTGGGAACAATTTATCTTGAGGCTGACACTTCATGATCTTGTAAACCTTGATTAGACTACTACTTGAACTTTTCTGACCAGTGTATATTTAAAAAAAGCCCCAAATTCTCCAGTCTCTTTTCATAGCTGTAGAACAGCCCAGTGAATCACTGCAACACATATTGTGGGCAGTACAGTAGCTCAGTGGTTAGCACTGCTCCCTCAGCACCAAAAACCTGGGTTTGATTCTCCCCGTGTTCCTGTTTCCTCTCACAGTTCAAAGGTGTGCAAGTTAGGTGGTCTGGCCGTGCTAAATTGCCCATAGTGTCTAGGGATGTGCTAGCTGGGATAGCCATGGGATAACATAGAGGAATGGGTCTAGTTGGGATGCTGTTTGGAGGATCAGTGTGGACTTCATGGGCCAAATGGCCTATTTCCACACTGTAGGGATTGTGTGATTCTATGATTCGTAGCCATTATTTATTTTTCAATGTTTCCTATAATGAAGTCTTAAAACAGTACACAGTACTGAATGTACAAACAGAGGTACACCTTGTGAACCCTCAGGTCTGCTGTACCACTCATTAAGATCATGACTTATCTGATTGTGGCTTCAACTCCACATTCCTACCTCTCCCCAATATTCTTTGACACCTTCAGTTAGTCAGGAATCTTTTGGCCCCCTTGTTAAAAATATTCAATGACTTAGCCTCCATTGCGTTCCAGGAAAGCGAATTCCAAAGTTTCTCAATGCCCTCAGAGAAAATAATTCTTCCCATCTTCAACTCAGTCTTAAATGGAAGGCCACTTCTTTGAAACTGTGGCTCTTAGCTCTAGCCTTAATAATGTAGCTGAAGAAGTCTTACACTAATTAACTCAACTTTATCTGTATGCTTTAATGTTAGTGTCTCTAGATACAAGCTCAAGGGTTCTGTCTGTACTTTTTTCAAGGCTTTATCATCTTGGTCCACCACTTTTAATCACCTCTGTGTCTGTACACACAATCCTGTCTGTTTTTCACCATTTAATATTGCATCAGTCAAAATGTATTCCCTTCCCTTTGTCTTATCTTCTACATAGGCCACTATTACCATTTGAACATGTTCTGCTTGGTGTTAAATTGGTTAAGGGTTCACATGCTACGAGTTTGTTAGACAGTCTTAGCCATTCTGTCAATAAGTGGAAGGTGACTCATTCGCTGCCTGGATTATGCACAGGTTTAATTCTTCATTTTATGCTTTAAAAGTCTTTTGAACATTTCTAAGCTATTTGTTAACGCTGCAGCCAATTCGTATTTCCCATGGTTGCATTCAGCCACCTTAATGAAGGAGGAATTTGGTCATTGACTGATTAGATTGATTGACATCTCAGAGGTAAAACCCTATTGGCCATTCCCTTTTTGTAGGGGCATTCTGTATCTTCCATTGTAAGCCTGACATACCTGCTGTATTTCTGCTTGGCAATTTTGTTTTGAATGATTTGATGTTCAGCAAGATAGATTGCAACGCTGAACTCTATCAGTTTAGGCGGTTACAAAGATCTGGATGATGATAGGTACCAACTCAAACCCTCTCTCTGGCAACAGTCTGGAACTAAACCAGACTGCTTGCAACCTTGGTATCCTATCTAATTTCAAGATGAACTTCCAGTCACACTCACATTATCATCAAGACTGCTTATTTTCACTTGCACAACATTGCCTGTCACAGTTATCAACAACCAAAACCCTCATTTGTCTCTTTATTACTTCTCAACTTGACCAATCCTGACTACTCTCCCACTTCTGTAAATATGACATTAATGTAACATCTCCTGCCTGTGTCCTATCTGACACCAAATGGTGTTCACTTTACCACTCATAGAGTCATAGAGTCCTACAGCACGGAGACAGGCCCTTTGGCCCAAACTGGTCCGTGCCAACCAAAATGTCCCTGCACTTGGCCCATATCCTTCTAAACTTTCCTATCCATGTATTCGTCCAAATGCCTTTTAAATGTTCTTA